ACCACTTTCTGAACAGCCAAATAAGTGAACTCGTGAGCACAAAGTTAATATCCGCGAGATGTGAAAGGCGTGGCTGCAAAGTTCGCTTGAGTGCGGCGGCAGCTGCGCTTCTGTTGGAAAATCTCCGTCTTGGAACAATTGAAACTACTTTTTTCATGTCTTTGTCTAGCACAAGGCAATGTGGACAGTCATTTCAAATGAAAATAGCCCGAGGAAAAACCTTCTACACCATTCTCGGATGCTCTGCGCAGCCACGCCCTCGCCATCCTCTAGATATCGAATGTAGGTGGGTACGAAAACCGAAACAAAGGAAGTCAAACTCGGGATATAGTCGTGTGGCGAAGGGAAGGTACCACTACCGATATTTTGATTGCTCCTTTACAGAGACAATCAACAGTCGTAAGAGACTATGTAATTGAACTGGCACAATTTTGAGAGAAATTTTTTGAGGATTATATTATCATCCGACATTTCGATTGACACGAAGCACGCCTCAGAGTACCCAGATAACTACAGGATTTTGAAGTTAGTTAGAAGAAATCAATAAGAGAAGGAAGCGGTCTTGCCACAATGTAGCTGGTTTCAGAGGCGAAGCAAACTCTAGAAACACTAGAAAGCCTTCGATAGCACTGATAAGGCCAACGGCGACGGTTTTTCGTCGTAGAGACGATGGGAATTCATTCGTTACGTCACCTATTATCAGTCACTACTAATCAGAAGCTATTGCTGGAGTACAACCCCGAGTTCACGCTAAACTGGCCCATATACATACCCTTATCACAAAGATAGAGAGGGCGTCTCTGCGTACTTCATTCCAACGTCGCGCGGCTGTGCTTTCGGTGGAATATTGTCATTTTTTAACGTGTGAGTAATTATACGCTAAGTCAGTTAGGTCCTGACGGGGACATCCTGCTCACGACGCTCGTAACCCCGCTCAGAATAACGCTGTCCTGCTGCCGTTTCGAGGCATCTCTTGTAATTACAGTATGTCCGTCTTGAAAACTTCTAACATCACGTTCCCATAATTGCCACTACGTCGAATCAGAAACTGCAGTACAGTTGTAGCCAAAGCCATTGAAATATTTTATTTAAGCATAAGACCTAACAAAAATCAACAATCAAATAAACACACTTCAACAAATTAGGAAAATACATGTGTATTTTCGAATAACAACAATCTCAACTTATAGTACAGGGCATAACTTTTTGAAGCACAGCATGTTTTTTCCTCTATACTGAAAGGCGAGACAGTTAACCAATATGGCTTTCCCGTCTAACCGCCCCTCTCCGTTCCGGACTTACAAGAGCGCACCAACGAGGAGGAATGAGTGGTGAGGACTTCATCTTTCAAATGAGCAGTCCGCGCTGTCTGTAAGGTCGCTGACAGTCAACAACTTCGCACCTTAGATAGGCGTGGGCCTAGACCTCGTCGTCTCAGAAGACGCGCACTAATGTGGGAAGCGTAGTGGCTGACGTTCCCGCCCATGCGATTGACGAGGACCATGCCTTGAAGTTAGTCGTTACTAATTGAACAGTACGAAGTGAGATAATATCGGCTAAACCCATTTACCTCCTATTTACCTGTATATACAACTTTACATCTATCGAAATATTTCTCCTATAATCTAATGGTTTGTCTTCTACTTCTACTACGTGCATTCTGGTCAGCCTGATGCTGCTTCCACCCGCTTCTTCTGTTTCACCTTTTCTTTTCGCCACTTTTGTTGCAGTTCATTTATAATCTGGTAAATCTCTTTGGGATCGACTTCTCCTTCCAAGGTCACATTGATTGTGGCATGAAATCCTGGAAGAGAGCGTTTTCTACGTAATATCTCCTTTGGATAACAACAGCATTAATTATCAAAAAAAATTAACACCTAAACGTATTAAATTCCTTCTCTCCCATACGGACTAGCGCAGACAAGGGCAGACTAAAACTGGTTTTTATCCAAGGGGATATGTGACGGGGGACTGGACTGGTGATGCTGTGCAGAGAAGAAAAAAGGCTTGCTATTTTTCGCATTCCTTTTTTTCGTACTACAGCGAGTACCCCATTCTTGACAACTCTGGTCGTCTGTGCTCTAACACTCAGCCTCAGAAAGGGGAATTGGCGTAATATTTGTTGCAGCCGAGTGCCTCATCCAACCGCAACAAATGCTGCACTCCACTTTGGAAATATTACCTTTTGTCGTGACCGCTCCAGATAAATGTAAATCGCACCTTCTCGTACTGTACTTGTGATAGTCTTACATACGAAGCCTTTCTCCTCCAATTTCTCGAAGATATCACGATGTTCGAGAGATTTGGCGCGATCGATCAACTCTTGCAGTGGCAGGTGCTCGATTTCCTGCCGAGGAACAGCAACTCGTCCACAGCTCGTTTCGTTCACCTGAACATCACAGTACAGTACAAAGCTGAGGCAGGTAGAGAACTGGAAGGCTCTTCGATCCCGTATGTAAGCGTTGTACACTTGCAGCTGCTTCGCATATATAGGATTGGAACGCTGTTGCAATCGCAGCGCGTTACAGCGCGTCGACGCGCGTCACCGCGAAGTGCGAACGCTGCCTTGAACCATCGGATTCGTTGCAACGTACACAAGGTACGTCACGGGTGGCAGGGCATGGTGACAAGGCAATTTTTTTTGCAAAGAAAGCTCGAATCAAACTATTTTTTTCTAGACCGTGCTGCGTACTGAATTCACTAACAAAACTGCCAAATTCTCGAATAGTCATTCATTCTGGACAGTTAGTGTCCCACTTCTCTCCGTAGACTTTAGTTGGCCGGCAGTAATCTTGAAAGGAGCATTCAAAGGTTTTTAAGGTGAACTTCTTCCGATGGTACCAAACGTAACGGAAATGAGGATTTCCTTCTGGACCTAAGGGGGAGAGGGTGGGCAGGTAGCTACGGGCTGAATGAACGAGTTCAAGGCACGGTAATTCTTTTCGACGATAGCAATTTGAGTTGCGCAAGAGTCCTTTTAAGACCTCTAGATTATCGGCCACTAGACATTTGCTTTGAATCTTCCTTACTTTACCACTTCAGTCCAACCAGTAGCAACTAATAAGGGAAAGGGGGTGGAGGGGAGTGAGGAGGGTCCGGTGTTGTGGATTAGACCTTTGAGGGAAAGTATCAAGAAGAATTATCAAACCATTCGTAGGTTCCACAAAACAATTTCGTTGGCACAAAGGAAAGGAAGGCGCTTTCGACGTGGTTATTCCATGTTGACCAGCAGGTATATTTTGGTGAGATCTGATCACTGTGGAACTGCGAAATGGCACAACTGAGCCATGTGGTCACAACAGCTTACAGATACTGACAGAATGATCTGTACAGGCTTCGCTGAGCACCATTCGATCCCCCAACCAGTCCACGCTGCGCTGAGAGAAAACCATGAGTCTTTGTCCCACCATCACACATTGGGAGCAGACTACCTTGTCCATTAGTTGCCATAACCATTTTTGAAAAGCTTGCAGTTAATCACTTACAACAACATTGAAGTCGATGACACAGTCAGGATCTACTTGAGGCCATGGAACACCTTCAAGTGGAGTTGAGGTCGCTATCGGGGACCGGATTGGCGTCACAGACTGCAATGCAGCCCAAAATTCAGCAGCCAAATACGGCGTGAACACCTGAAAAGGGATCTCTAGCGACAAACCACCAATGGAATAAGGTCCTTGCTATACCTGCATCATGCCCACTAAAGCATAAACACATCTCTCCGCTTCCTGAACTGCTTCCAAGCACTGAAGGATCGAGTTTCTGGGAAAGAATTCCAGATTAGTGACGAATAACAAGAGCTCAATAACGGGAACTCACTCGTAGAACATTCGTGAATCCTTGAAGTCTCATCAGAGCAGTGTTGTGCAGATTCTGTTCTTCAAGACACATCGAGGTCTGAAAAATTGCTCCCTTCAGGTTGGGGTTTTTGAAGAACTATAGTGCAGGTATTAGACCTAATCCCACACGTCAGCAGGGGGGAGGGGTGGCGTCCTCCAACAAGGCCATGTGCTGACGCGACAAGGCTATGTCTGAGTGAGGGTGTGTAGACGAGCAGACATGACATGGCTTAGCTCCACTGCAGTGCAGCTTCCTCCAAGGCCCATAGCGCCACAGTGTGTACTGTAAGCGGGGCAGGAGTTCCACCGGGTCACTCCGTGTACAATGTGAATATTTAGCCTCCCATACGAGTCTCGCCCCGATTACTCTACCCCAAAGGATCGAAAGACCTACTTCACTCGGGTGGGATCACAATCATGAATACCAGTGTTTCAAATTTCATAAAAACATCTATACTAATCTATACCTACATGCCGAACAAAGAAGTTGTAGCTTTCTCGCAGCTGCTCTTCAGTCTTCGAACAGGTGGGAACAGCGACCGACTGGCCCTCCAATCGTTTCCTCTCCCTGACGTATGCGGAGACAATCCAGGCGATTCGATCAATCCACTTCTTCAGTCCCTTCAGGTCTATAGAATAACCATTTCGCCTTCGAAATCCAGCTTGGAAATAAATCTACCTGATTCTTCCCAGTTGATCGGTTGGCGTGGTGCTGCTGTGTCGAGCAGCTGTAGACGAGCCATGTCAACTCCAACTTTTTCCAGTACAGCCAATGGATCAACTCCTGAATAGAATAGTAGATTACTGTATATGATTGAATAAATGCTTGACTGGCTGACAACTGAAACATTAGTCTATGAGAATTGCTTGAAATTCGCCAAAGGACCTACCGTTTCCTTTAGATTTGCTCATCTTTTCGAAAGCCGACATGGTCAGACAGCCGTCCATCCTTCGACAAGCATTTATCGTCTGAAAAACCTTCTTGAGATACTAGATTTAGGCAGTGTGAGCTGCGCGTTCGAGCTCGCCTGGGATCAAGACTTTTGTCCATAAGACAGCATTCCTGTGCTACCATAAACTGCGTAACCTACTAATTTCCACTCGATGGTATGGGGGAGGGGAAGGGGGGAAGGGGAAGGGGGGGGGACGGTAAGCGAGGACAAGGCTGTGTCCATGCACTGCCCGTCTGCACCCTCTCTGTTCCTATTCGAATCTTAGAGAACAAGTTCTCCCTGGGAGGGCGCAGAAAAGCAAATGGTCCAGAACACTTGAAAAATTCAAAACTGGTGTGCTGCCAGTTTGTTACCCAGTTGAAAACACTAACAAATGATTGAGCAAAATAAACTAACCCTTCATGATGACTTCCTTTCTCGGCACATACCGTCCTTCAGAATCGACAAACGTTTTACCACGTACAATACCTTGAGGAATGAGATCTCGAAAAGGCTCGTGCAGCTGGAATATGATTATTAGCTGTCCCGTCTCAATCACAATCGAATCGAGATTGACCGTATTGATCAAATTTTGAATTTTCGAACTGATCGTATTGTCAAGGCTAGAACGCTTACACGAGAGACGGACAAGAAATTGTAATCCGCCGCACGTCGCGCACGACGCACCGAGCGGCGATGCGCGGCGAAATGTATAACCCTGAGTTTTGGTCGAGTTACCCTCCCTGGGAGACAAATTGCCTGAAGTGCTTCGACACGTCGGTATAATGTGATCGCGCCAGCCGAAGCACGCGTAGAATGGTGTATCTGCGCGTCCCTCACCTCTCTTTAGCATTGGAACTGACCAACCTTGGTGACTCCAATGTCCGTGAGGAAATAAGAGATAAATCGAGCGAAGAACATATGAACTGCTGCTAAAATTGAACAATTTTTCAAGAAAAATTCGATGAATTCAATGAAACAAGGAAAAAAAACCCGAACCATGCTCTATTCCACCCACATAGATGTCGACCGGCATTCTGGCCGCCGCTTCTTGGGAGATGAGTGCATTCTCATTATGCGGATCAAGGTACCGTAGGTAGTACCTGGAAGCATCAAGTGATTCACTGAATTACGAGTAAAATAAATAAAGCGAAAATGAAATAATTCAAAAAAAAAGGAAAATTGCCATGATGAATCATAAAAAAAGAATGTTGGTCCAGTGTATCCTTTTCGTAGAAACCTTCACCTCCTTCTAATCTAAACAGACAGGTCAATACAACAATGGAACAAAATCAATCAAAAGTTCAAGTATGAGCAATAAGCCGGGCCGATCACCCTCTAACATTAAGCGACGCATACACATTTTACTTCCAACAGAATGTTGAGGGCTTACAAATGCCTATTTTTACGTACATAATGAATACTTTTGTCAAGTACCTAGCACTCAAGTAGTGGCGAGTCGCTCCTGACACTATACTTACGAAGACGCGGATCAACTCCTGCCCAGGCCAACCAGCCTTACATCCCCCAACAATAGTTAGTCAGTACCCTAGAAGTATTTGTGCGGCTCCGGCAGGTTACTGCATAGGCCAAGGGACTTCCTGGCACAGTTGGCTTGGTAGGGGCACCAAATGGTATTCAGCGAAGCTTGTACAGAGCATCTTGTGAAGACCTGCAGAATACTTGTGCTGAAGTGCCTCACTATATTATTTTAGAGCTTTACAAAGGTTGTGAAAGCGCAAAATGCCCCTCTAAGCCGAGCAGCATAGGACTCTCCAAATGCACCACGGCTCTGAACAGAAGTGATTCCGTTAAGGTTTTCAAAAAGGTCCGAGGCTTCAGAGCCAGTAGTGTCATCTTTTTTTCCATTTTTAGTAAACGGCTATAGATAACCTGCGGAAGTCAAAAATGGAGAAGGAAGCATTTTGCACCTTCGATAATTTTTTTGTTAGATCATACGTAATAACAGCTCCCACATGGGAGACGTGAGCCGTGTAAACTCCCGTAAAATGGCGAAATGTTGCCAGTGAGCCACTTCGCTCACAGGGATTTACGAGTCCTCACAAGTCGTTCGGCCCAAACTTCATTGAGTACCATTCGGTGCACCCTCCAAGACGAAATTCGCCAGATTCTGTCGTCCTGGGTGGGGTTCATTAACGGGGACCAGGGAATCAACGCCTATTAGAATACGTTAAGCGTACAAAGCACATGAATCTTCTGAGCAGCACATACCTGTCACACGGTATCTTCCTGCCCTGCTTCCTGTCCATGAAGAAGGGGCAACTGATCGTTACTGAGTGGCACAGCGGTTTTTCCGTCAGGAGACAAGATCATTGGGATTGGAGTTCCCCAGGAACGTTGCCTGAACACATTTGTACAGTAAGATTTGCAAGTGAAGTCAAAATGTCCCACTTACCGACTTACAACCCAATCTTGAAGCGTTCGCGATGTCATATATCCACCGAAATTACCAAACTGTAATGTTTCAAAGGTAAAGCTAAGGGCGATGGAAACGAACGCTGTTCACTTTGAAAGGGACATTTTGAGTTCGCTGAACTTTCCTTAGTTCCTCTTAAATTACACATCTCAACTTGGTAAGGCGTGTTGATTTTGTCAGATGTAAACGAAGCTCATACAGCTTCAGGAGTTCACAGGTACTCACAAGAGGCATCAGCAAAGATCGATGGGAATCAGCAAAATGCCCCCACCAAGCCGGATTGCGCTCAGAAACGGACCTTAGCGATCTCTTCGACGTCCCTGAGATTCATTGGCATAAGAGCTCGTCGATCCTGTACGATTTTGAACTGTTCCACTAAGGAAGCATCTGCCACAAAATCGCCGCACCTGAATCCCGTTGCTAGCTTCGGTCAGTAGTGCTCTATAAAGGGCACGGTTTCCTACCTCGCATTCAAGTGCATACGGGGACCTTCATAGCTTTCAGGAACCACAATGATTGGCATCCATACGCCGGAAATTCCATTCAGAACACTAATACCAAGGCGATCTGAAATGTTTCAGGGAAAATATAGCTGGAAGGAAAATGGACCACAGCAACCAAGTGGGGGAGGAAGTGTGTGTGTGTGTGTGTGTGTGTGTGTGTGTGTGTGTGTGTGTGTGTGTGTGTGTGTGTGTGTGTGTGTGTGTGTGTGTGTGTGTGGGGGTGTGTGTTTACAAGTCCATGCTGTGAAAATCATGGGTTTCTTAATGGTAGATGGGTATTGTGTCTAAATTATCGTCTGATCTGCGAACGCTAGGTGAGTGTGAGGGTGTGATATACCGAGCCACGGCATGCATCTCCCTAATTGCTGAGACTAATATGGCATCATTGGCGAAAATGCCACCTTGGCGCGCTCTAATCTACGCCTCCGGTTCGATAGCCCTCATCGTCTTACGGGGCAAGGCTCTATGGTGTAAAGAACGCTTTCGAGATGCGTAACCTATTCTTTATGGAAGAGAATGGGCTTGCTTGAGTAATCGAGTTCCGCTGCACAGGGAACTCTAAAAATCCCCCGCCGTCTCCAAGACAACTGGCCTCGAAATCTCGTCTAAAGGAAAAAATGGTGTTCATAGCTCTTCACAAGGCGAATCAACAGAAGAACGTTGGTGGTCGCTAAGTGGATGACCATGGCGAATAACCACAAACGACGCTCGGGCAGCACCGACTGGATCATCCACACGCAGATCAAGAAGTTCTTCCATTGGCTGGTGCTTATCATCCTGTAAAAGGGAGAGCTATGTTGCTTGAACACAAACAATAATAGTAATAACAAAAACATATTTCAGGCACCATCCAGTGAAGCACAGGGCGCAGTTCGCTTGGCGGGGAGAGGGGGGGGGGGGGGAGGGGACATTTTGCACTTTTGCTACTTCCCATCGATGTGTTGAGCCATTATGCGGAGACCTGTGAAATCTTGTCAAGTCACGAAGTGATACCAGGCAAAGTATTACTTGAAAATATTTGTCAGTTCTTAAAACAAGGAACACCTCTCCGCCCCCTTCCCTACCCCCAGCGGGACTGCGCTGAATATACTAGTCAAAAAAAACAGAAAAGAATATGCAAGTTTCTAGAAACAAACCAGGGGAAAAACGTAAGTGTACTTACCCTCAGAGGAAACAAAAACCGGTAGACATCGCACTTCCCGATCCAGTGGGACTGAATATCAGCCACTTCGGGCCAATTCAACTTCTTCAAGCCATCGCTCAAGCGCTGGAAGGCACAACTGCTCGTAACTCCTTACCCTCAAGAGGTTTTCAAACAGATTCCTACCTTTGCATAACGCGGAGTCTCAATCATCCATTGTCGTAATTTGCGTTTCTCAACGACAGCACCGCTTCTCCAACTCCTTCCTTCGGAATCTATCTGCTCAGCAGCAAGTACCGTATTGTCTACTGGATCCCAGTTTACCTTAACAGTAATTGTTACTCATACAGTTGCCGAACATCAGCGCCAGTCTCACCTCAGCAAGAGTTCGCCGGATCAAGCCGTGCTCGTACAACCGTAGGAAAATCCACTGAGTCCAGCGATAATAGGACGGCTCGCATGTCGAGATTTCCTGCAAAAGGGATTCAAGCGAAAATTCTCCGTGGTTCTCGGAATCTCTGTATATCCAGTGTGCAACCTTTGCATTAATGCAGCCCGCGACTGCCATTCGTCAGCAGTGAGGTCCAAATAGGGATATCGTTCGTGGTTCTAAGTAACTCAAAAAGTAAAAAGGAGCAGAAACTGTCTATATGACTCTGAATAACACCACTGTCGTTCTCAGCATTAACGAGCTTACAAAGAAGAGAAACAGGTCGCAGAAAAGAAAAACAGGCCAAGGTACGGCATGAGAGCACACAGATGACTAAAGCTACACGACTATCTAGCAATGGTGAGACTAAATCATAAAAGGAGAAGGCGATTGCGTGGGCGGAGACTTCTTACCGTGGCGATCTTATCCTATAATATTGAACCTCGAACTTGGTGCACGCTTAGCGCATGCGGACCGCGAGAGGAGGGGGAGGGGGGCGGGTTCTGTACGTCGGTTGATCGCGGTCCATCTTTAAGACTTCCTATTATATGAATGTTGGGCAACCGACGCTCAGGTCATCAAATGCGTAGTCCGCGCTGGCTGCATGGGTAAAGTTATACTTACCCGCGCGCTAATCTTCACCCCGCTCCCACCGCCTCTCGTCCCGGAAGGGGAGAGCGCTCCAATGAGTGAGGCACAGATGTGGCTCTGACTCCGCCTTTACACGATAAGCGTAGACTGTGCCTTCAACCCATGCTCCCTCTTCTCCTCAAAACCAGAACCGCTCTTCCGGGATCGTGCTCTACGTGTGCAGCTGCTTTTATGATATATATGGTACAGTAACTCGAATACACATAGGTATAACCTACCCTATCCCAATCGAAAACGATCCCCGTCTTCAGCAGCTGACCTCTCATT